GCAGACTCCCCATTGAGCGGGGAGGCCAACACGATCCTAGCCTGAGATCATGACCTGAGCCGAAATCAAGAGTTGGACGCTTAACCAACTAAGCCACTCAGGTGCCCCTGCAACTTTTGTTAGATTTACTCCTGTACTTGGTGTTTGTGGTTTGAAAACAGTATATAAATAGCTTTATTTTTTGTTTATTGTTAGTCTGTAGAAATACATACAGTTGATCCTAATTTGTAGATTCTGAATTTGTGAATTCAGGTAATCGCCAAAATTTATTTTAACCCCCAAATCTCCCAGCACTTTCTCAGTGCTCTCGGGGTCATTCTTGGACATGTGTAGAGCCTTGTAAAATTTGAGTTGCTCAACAGGCACATTCTCAGCTGAGACGAAACAAGGAATGCTCTGTCCTTCCCTTTTTTTTAAGTTTTTATTGAGGTATAATTGAGGTACAACATTATGTTAGTTTCAGGTGTACAGCATAATGATTCTGTATTTTTATATATCACAAACTGCTTACCACTTAAGTCTAGTTAACATCTTTCACCATACATAGTTACAGAATTTTTTTCTTGTGATGTGAACTTTTAAGATTTACTTTCCTAGCAACTTTCAAATATGCAATACGATTATTAACTATATCACCATGCTGTACATTTTATCCACATGACTTACTTATTTTATAACTGGCAGTTTGTAGCTTTTGACTCCCTCACCCATTTTGACCCCCCCACCTCCACCCCTGCCTCTGGCAACCACCAATCTGTTCTCTGTGTCTGTAAGCTTGTTATTTTGTTCTGTTTTAAAATTCCACATATAAGGGAGATCATATGGTGTCTTTCTCTGTCTGACTTGTTTCATTTAATGGCCCTCAAGGCCATTCATGTTGTTGCAAATGGCAGGATTTCATGCTTTTTTATGGCTGAAGAATATGCTATTGTGTATATATATATATGTGTGTGTGTGTATATATATATTTATATATATCACATTTTCTTTATCCATTCACCTGTCAGTGGACACTTAGGTTGTTTCTTTGTCTTGGCTATTGTAAATAATGCAGTGAACATGGGGGTGTGTATATCTTTTAGAGTTAGTATTTTTTTTCCTTCTTCAGATAAATCCCCAGAAGTGGAATTGTGAATTATATGGTAGGTCTCTTTTTAATTTTTTGAGGAAACTCATTATTTTCCACAGTGCCTGCACCAGTTTGCGTTCCCATGAACAGTGTAAGGGCCTTTTTCTCCACATCCTTGCCAACGTCTCTTATTTCTTGTGTTTTTGATGTAGCCATTCTCACCCGTGTGAGGTGGTATCTCCTTGTGGTTTTGATGTGCATTTCTCTGATGATTAGGGATACTGGCATCTTTTCATGTACCTGTTCACCATTTGTATGTCTTCTTTGGAAACATGTCTATTCAGATTCTCTGCCCTTTTTTTTTTTTTTAAAGATTTATTTATTTATTTATTTGAGAGAGAGTAAGAGAGAGAGAGCACGAGAGCGGGGGGCAGTCAGAGGGAGGCAGCAGACTCCCTGCTCAGTAGGGAGCCTGATATGGGACTCGATCCTGGGACTCCAGGATCATGACCTGAGCCGAAGGCTGTTGCTTAACCAACTGAGCCACCCAGGCGCCCTCTGCCCATTTTTAAATTGGATTGTTTGGGTTTTTTGTTATTAAGTTGTAGGAGTTCTTTATATAGTTTGGATATTGACCCCTTATCAGACATATGATTTGCAAATATTTTCTTTCATTCAGTAGATGGCTTTTTCATTTTGTTGATTGTTTCCTTTGCTGTGCAGAAGCTTTTTAGTTTTAGTTCCATGTGTTGATTTTTGCTTTTGTTGTCTTTGCCTTTGGTGTCAAGTCCAAAAAAATCAGCACTGAGACCAATGTCAAGGAGCTTACTATCTATGTTTTCTTCTAAGAGTTTTATGGTTCCAGGTCTTACATTCAAGTCTTTAATTCCTTTTGAGTTAATTTTTGTGTATGGTGTAAATTTTATTCTTTTGCATGTAGTTGTCCAGTTTTCTCAATATCATTTATTGAAGAGACTGTCCTTTCCCCGCTGTGTATATTCTTGGTTCCTTTATCATAAATTAGTTGACTATATAAGCGTGAGTTTATTTCTGGGCTCTCTAGTCTGTTTCATTGATCTGTGTGTCTTTTTATGCCAGTACCATACTGTTTTGATAACTATAGCTTTGTAGGGTGCCTGGGTGGCTCAGTTGGTTAAGCGACTGCCTTCAGCTCAGGTCATGATCCCAGGGTCCTGGGATCGAGCCCCGCATCAGGCTCCCTGCTCGGCCAGAAGCCTGCTTCTCCCTTTCCCTCTCCCACTCCCCCTGCTTGTGTTCCCTCTCACGCTGTCTCTCTCTCTCTCTCTCTCTCTCTCTCTGTCAATTAAATAAATAAATAAATAAAATCTTTAAAAAAACAAAACAAAACTATAGCTTTGTAATATAATTTGAAATCAGGGAACGTGGTATATCCAGCTTTGTTCTTTCTCAAGATTGCTTTGGCTCTTCAGGGTCTTTCTTGGCTCTACACATATTTTAGGATTATTTGTTCTATTTCTGTGAAAAATACCAGTGGAATTTTCATAAGGATTACATTGAATCTGTGGATACTTTGGGTAGTATGGATATTTTAACAATATTGATTCTTCCAATCCATGACACAGAATATTTGAGGTGGCTTTATAGAATATAATACTGGAAATAACAAGAATCAACTGTATATATATTTTTTATATTGTTTTTGTATCAAATAGTCTTGCTAGACTTGTACAAATTTTAGTAATTTACCTGTAGATTCTTTTGGGTTTTCTACATGCATAATGATGTCATATGCAAAATGACACTTTATTCCCCCTCTCCAGTCTTAATGACTTATAATTTCTCTTTTTTTGCTTTGCTCTGCCAGCCGGAACTTCCAGTACAACGTTGTATAGAAGTGGTCTTACGTGTCCTGTTCATAATCTCAAAGGGGAAAGCTATCAGTATTTCACCTTAAGTATGGTATCTGCGTAGGTTTTTCTTAGGTAGCCCTTATCAGATTAAGGTTTCTTTTCCTAGTTTAAGACTTTTTGTCATGAATGGATATTGAATATTTTTTAATCACCTGTCTTTTCTGCATCTATTGAAATGATTATATGATTGTCTTAATGGTTGATTTTTCTAATGTTAACCTTCGCTTTCTGGAATTAAGCTTCCATCATATTGTATTATCCTTTTTCTGTGTTGCTGACTTGAGTTAGCTGATACTTTGTTTAAATTTTTACATATGTATTCATTAGTGAGATTGATGTAAATTTTTCTTTCTTAAAATTTCCTTGTTAGGTTTTGTATTAAGGTTATGGCTAGTCTCCTAAAACCACCTGGTTTTATGTAGATTGGGGATAGGTAGTGTTCTTTTTTTAAAAAAAGAAATCTCAGGGGGCGCGTGGGCGGCTTAGTTGGTTGAGTGTGTGACTCTTGATTTCGGCTCAGGTCATGATCTCAGGGTTGTGAGATCAAGCCCCATGCCAGGCTCCATGCTGAGTACTGTGTGTGGAGCCTGCTTGAGATTCTCTTTCTCCCTCTCCCTTTGCCCCTCGTCTGTTCTCTCTCTTTCTTGAATAGAATAGAATAAAAAAAAAAACAATTCTCAGAATAGTTTATGTGAGATTGGCATGAATTTTTCTTTACATTTTGGTAGAACTTGACAGCAAGACCATCTAGGCCTGAGGATTTCGTTGCGGGAAGGTTTTTACTACTGTTTATTTTTGCTAATGGTTATTGGACTGTTCACATTTTATACTTCATGTGTAGTTTTGATAAGTTTTGGTTTCTTAGCTATTTATCCATTTTACCTATATCTTCAAATTTATTTTTATTGAGTTGTTTACAATATTTCTTAGGATCTGTAATGATGTGTTTCCCCCCTAATACTGGTTTTTGGCTTTTTCTCTCTCTCTGATCAGTTTCATTGACTTTTTGTCAATTTTATCAGTGTTTTTATTTTTATTTTTTTTTTAATTTTTTAATTTTTTATATTATTTATTTATATGACAGAGAGAGACAGCAAGAAAAGGAACACAAGCAGGGGGAGTGGGAGAGGGAGAAGCAGGCTTCCCGCTGAGCAGGGAGCCCGATGCGGGATTCGATCCCAGGACCCTGGGATCATGACCTGAGCCGAAGGCAGACGCTTAACGACTGAGCCACCCAGGCGCCCCAATTTTATCAGTGTTTTTAAAGAGCTCACTTTCCTTTTTGCTCTTCTCTGTTATGTTTGTTTTTCCATTCATGCAAAAAAGAATTAACTTTGCAGGCCTGAGACTGCTATCCTTAGAAAGTCCTGCTTACAAGGTTGGCCTTTGACTGGTGTCTAGAAACTTAGATTTCGGGAGGGTTCTCACCGTTCCCTGACTGATAAGGGTAGTTAACTGTGCCAGAACTGTTTGTGCAATTTGTTTTATACTGAGCACCTGCTCTCCTAGAAATCTAGAATTTTGGTATGTGATAGGCAGAGGGTGCCTGTAGGACCATCCCCCAGTAAGAACTTTGGCCACTGAGTCTCTAATAAGCTTCCCTGGTAGCCAACGTTTCACATGTGTTCACATAATTCGGTGCTGGGGGAATTAAGGGTATCCTACATGACTCCACCATTGGAAGCATGCACCTGATTTCCGGCAGCCTTTGCCCCATGCGCCTATTCTCTTTACTGATTTTGCTTTGTGCCCTCCTGCTGTAATAAATGATAGCCATGAGTGCAACTATATGCTAAGTCCTGTGAGTCCTTCGATCTAATCATCACTGAATCTAGGGGGTAGCCTTAGGGATGTTGGACACACCATTGTGAATGGCAGGTATTTCTATCAGAGGCTGAGCTGCTTTTTGTCCTTGAAGCATAGTTACTATCAGTCTGTCTCATTGAGCTTATCTATTTCACTTGTTTGTTAAAAGATATTTGCATCACATGCAGAGATAATTTGATTCTCTCCTTTTCCCATTGCTCCTCAAATTTAAGGTCTTTTAAGGATGGTGCAGTTAAGAAAACTTATCCTCCAAAGATACTGACCAACCAGAAGTCTTCTGCCTTCTCTGGGATGCGGAGTGAGATACCTAGTGCCAGTCATCCAGTTCAGTATCATGCCTCACGTGGTTGGACCCAAAGGAACCGGTTACGAGAGTTGCGTATCAGGTGAGCTTGCAAGTTGTCACCTGCCTGCAGTGGCTTTTCCATTGTTCTCCCTTGGTGAAAATGAGGGGATGATTCCTATTCTTCTGTCTCAATTAGTTGGAGACTTTGATGCCTACTCTTTGTGGCAGGATGTTCAGAAGAAAACAATATTTAGGAATCTGCACGCTTAAAGTCTGTCATTCTGTGTTTTCATTCACATTCCACAATGTGTAAGCTATAAAGAGTCTTCCAGAAAAAGTCCAAACATACTCTGAGAAAAATTGTCATTTTCCACTACTTTTGATTAGGTCTATCAAAGGCATTCATTTATTCATTCAACAAAAATTTTTTTTAAAGATTTTATTTATTTGAGAGCAAGAGAGAGAGAAGGGAGAAAGAAAGTGAGAGAGCACAAGCAGGGGGAGCAGTAGAGGGAAAGGGAGAAGCAGGCTCTCTGCTGAGCAGGGAGCCCGATGCCAGGCTCAATCCCAGGTCCCTGGGATCATGACCTGAGCCAAAGGCAGACGCTTAACCAACTGAGCCACCCAGGCACCCTCAACAAAAATTTATCAGGCTTTCTCTTCCTTGGCGCTGCCTGAGGAGGCACCAGATATGTCAAAATTAAGTGCAATTGGAGGAAACCCAGAGACATTGACAGTAGGGTGCACAGAAGATTCAAGGGCCAGATCTTGATGCCCAACATACGTTACGGGAGCAACAAGAATACCAAGCACATGCTGCCCAGTGGCTTCTGGAAGTTCCTAGTCCACAACGTCAAGGAGGTTGAAGTGGTGAGGATGTGCAACAAATCTTACTGTGCAGGGATTGCTCACGGTATCTCCTCTAAGAACCACAAAGCCACTGTGGAAAGAGCAGCCCATCTGACCATCAGAGCCACCAATCCCAATGCCAGGCTGCGCAGTGAAGAAAATGAATAGACAGCTTCTGTACACATTGTATTTGTGTTAATAAAACCATAAAACTACAAAAAAAATTTTTATCAGGTGCCTACTTGGCTAGGTGTTGTGCTAGATGCTGAGCATACAAGGTGAATAAGACATTCCTGGCCTATAACCTCATGAAAGCTTAAAATCATGTCGGCTTAACAGACTGTTAAGTCACACCAGGAAAGCATGATAAATGCTATAAGATGAGAGGATGTGGTGCTATAGGCCCACATGACTAGATCAGCCCCACTAGTGTAGCCAGAGGAACTTCCTGGAGGAAGTGGGGTTTAAGATGAGTCCTAAAGGTTAATGTAAGAATAAGCCAGATAAAGGGTAGGAGGAAGAAGAGTGTTCCAAACTGAACCTGGAGACAAACTGGCCAAGACAAGCCACCTTTTTTGTGTGTATACCAGGCACTGTGTTAGGTACTTGGGATCCTATAAGACATGGTCCCCATTCTCAGGGCCTCACAGTGCAGAGGGAACACCAGGTCCCCTATGAGCTGATTACTGTGATTTGGTGTCATAACATTATATTTACTAACAGTTGGATCAGAGTGTTGAGGGTACAAGGCTACTCACCGTGTTTGGGTTGGGGAAGGTCCAGGAAGGCTTTACATAGGAGCAAGCATTGAAGATGAGACTTGACAGGTAAGTGGGCATTTGCTAGGTGTTTTAGGCAGTAAGAATCATACGAATAAAAGCATTATCATGTACTTCCTTTTCCTCAACTCTGAAGTCTTCAGTGACAAAAGACTTTATATTGAAAATATTTTTCAAAAATAATCGGCTTGGGGGGTGCCTGGTGGGCTCAGTCAGTAGAGCATAGGACTCTTGATCTCAGGGTTGTGAGTTAGAGCCCTATAATGAGGGTAGAGATTACTTATAAGAATAAAAATAATAAAAACAATCTGCTTGATCTTGGCTTTATAAATCTGTCCCATCCTATGCTCTATTTGATGGAAGATTAGCTGTGATTCACCTTTTGACTCATGCTAGCATCTCTCCCCGGGGGACCTTAGTTTCCCTCTGCTTTCCAGAAAATTGATGAAATAAGTCAAATGGAGTTTTAAAATGTGTATATATCCTTTCTTTCCTTCTTTCAGATGCGTGGCCAGGAAGTTCTTATATTTGTGGATTCGAATGACTTTTGGAAGAGTATTTCCCTCTAAAGCCAGGTAGTATTAGCTCAGAACACCAAACTTCTCTGAGTTCATTCTAGGTTTTTGTTTTGTATTAAGCCCATGTGTAACCTTTGTTATGGTATGTGTTACATTCTTCCCCTCCCCACCCCCAAGCCTCCAGCAGGCATATGATATAATGGTCATCTAACATATATTAGTTTGATCAAATGAATGTATGAAGGAATCCTAAGTAAACCAGGATGGCTAAGACCCTCTCTGAAAAAAAATATTTGCCCAGAAGTAGATAACCTCTTTCAGGGCACTGTCAAGACTGACCACATTGACTTGATCTAGGGCAGAACCTGGGGAAAAAGTTGGCATTGGCAAGGGGAGTGAAATTTTAGTCGAGAGAATGTGTATAGGCCACTGCCCCCTACTGCAGGTTTTGGTTAAAATTGCTTCAGCGGCAGCATAAAAGAGCGAAGAGCTGATGCAATGGGGAGCCACCAGGGTCAAGGACACAGGCAGGAGCTGGTGGGTTTGGAGAGAAGCGGCCAGTGTAGGGTAGATTTCAGAGGAAGAATTGGCAGCCACTGACATGTAGGCATTTTTTTAAAAAGGGAAATGTTGTGGGTTCTTAAGCCCTCAACTCTTCCCTTACTACAAACTTTCTTGTTTCATTTTTCTAACATTGTGGCTTTCCTAATCTGGAACATCATCCAGATCTTTTCAAAGTCTTTTAAGCAAATTTGGCCTGGGGATGTCCCCTGAAATCTGTGCGCATACCCTGTGGGGGTCTGTGCTGTTCCCATCTTGGTGCGGCTTTGCCAGTGAAGCTTCCAGGGTGGCAGCAGTCCATCCAGCCGCACATGTTAGACAGAGTTCACCTCTGCTTCTCCTTCTTCTCCTGGACCTTGGCCCTGTCCTTTTTCACTTCCTCGGTAGCTTTTCAGTACCTTCAAATAAAGTTGTTGTTTTTTAATTCAGTTGAGTATTTTATTTATTCCCCCTCCCCAAACTTTTATTCTTCTTTTAGTGATTGCCCTAAAGAATATAATACATATCTTTAGTTTATCAGAGTCTAATGTTAATTGGCCCTTTTGCCCTCTTCCCAAACAAGGCAAGGTCCTTAGAACACTTTTAACTCTGTCTGTCCCCCTCCCCGCTTATATGCCCTTATTGTAAGGTATTTTAATATGGTTTATATTTTAAAATCTGCAAAACATTTATTTTTTCTTGTTTTATACAGCTAATATTCATTTAGATTTAGTCACATATTTACCCTTCCTGTTCTTTTCTTCCCCCCTATGTCTCCAGGTTTCCATCTGTGATTATTTTCCTTCTGTCATTGGAATATCCTCATCATTTGCTTTAGAATAGATCTGCTTGTGATGAATTCTCTCAGATTTTGTAAAAAAATGTTTTTATTTCACTTTCGTTTTTGAAGGATATTTCACTGCATAGAGAAATCTAAGTTGCCAGTTTTTTCCTCAGCATTTTGAAGATATTTCATTGTCTTAAGACTTCCATTTGTAAGTCAGTCTACTTATTGCTGTTTTGAAGATTCATTATCTTATTTTTCAGAGTTTTAATATGATATGACTGGGTGTGGATTTCTTTTCTTTTTTAAAAAGATTTTATTTATTTGTCAGAGCGCACTAGAGAGAGCACAAGCAGGGGGGAGTGGCAGGCAGAGGGAGAAGCAGGCTTCCCACTGAACAAGGAGCCCAATGCGGGACTCGATCCCAGGACCCTGGGATCATGACCCCAGCCGAAGACAGACTCTTAACCGACTGAGCCACCCGGCGTCCCTGGATTTATTTTCTTAAAGTCTTTTAGCTCATTCTGAGATAATAGGTGACAGGGTTTTGTATTTTTGCTTTGTTTTGTGGACACATCTTTCCTTCATACTTTCTTTATCTATAGGCATGTTATTCTCCTTTTTTTTAATTTAATTTTTTTTTTTTTAAGATTTTATTTATTTATTTGACACAGGGAGTGAGCACAAGCAGGGGGAGTGGCAGGCAGGCAGAGAGGTAGAAGCAGACTCCTCACTGAGCTGGGAGCCCGATGTGGGACTTCATCCCAGGACCCTGAGATCATAACCTGAGCTGAAGGCAGATGCTTAACGACTGAGCCACCCAGGCATCCCTTATTGCTCATTTTTATGTGGAATTGATCTTTCTGAACTTTTTAGAGTGAGGCAAGATCAGTTAACTTTCCTATTTCACAGAGCTCCCACTTCTGTCTCATTTGTAGTATTAAAAAATATGGCAGCTTGCTCTATGGGATATCCTGGTTCTATTCCCCTAAAACACTTGGTCTGATTCTCTCTTTCCTTGTCTCTCTTGTCCATCTCTTGCTCAATTTCTATTCTACTTCCAGCAGTTTTTCCTCATTTTGAAGCTCTGGCCTAAAAGGGAGCCTGGCATGTTGGTTCTGAGACTAGGGGCAGGACTGCTCCAACTGTTTCAATTCTGTCTACATTAGCCCTGGTAGTGGAAAGGAGAAAACTCTCAGATTCAGCTGCTAGTCTCACATGGGGCCTCTGCACTTTGCAGTGACTACTTATTGGCTGTTTTGGGGTTTTTCCATTCTCAGGTTCCTTAGATGCCACCCTCATTGCTCCTTCTTCCTCCTGTAGAAATGTTAATACCATGCAGATCTTTTGACTATGGATGGTTTGTCTTCATCTGCTTGCATTTTGGTTTTATGGGGATACCTTGTCCCATGGTTTTGTTGTAATTGATACATGAATTTTTGGTTTTGCTACATGGTTGCTGTGTGTGTTTTATGGGGATTCAGGGACTGGAAAGCTATGTTGTCCGCTCCACTATCTTCCCCAAGTTCTTTTCCTACTTAATTTTATTTAACTTAATATTTGACCCATATTTAACTAGAAATATCTGTTTAAGTAATACCCATTTATAGTCACAGTATTTGGGAAATGCTGATTATATTAGAAATGCATTTGACTCTAAGTAAGAGAAAGTCTGACAGTGGCTTTAACAAATTGGGATTTGCTTTTTCTCATAAGCAGTTTGGAGGTTGGTCTTGGTTTAGCTGCTCAGGGAGGCCATCAAAGACTCAGGCTTTCAGTACCTTTCGAGTTCACCATTTTTAACATATGGCCCTTTGTCCTCAGAGATGACACTGCATAGTTGCAAAATGACTGTCTGTTTTACACAGGAAGGAGTAGGGAAGGGTGGTGTCAGATCTGTCTTTTACTCAGGAAAACAAAACTTTCCTGGAAACCCTCAGCTGCATTCTGCTCTGCCTCATTGTCCAGAGCTGTGTCACTGGCTGCCTTTTGCCACATTACATGAAAAAAAGACCAAAACAAACAAAAAAGCAAACATGTCCAATCCAAGCTTTCTCTCCCAGCTTCCTCTGCAGCAGATGCCTGTGAGGAGGCAGGGGCCTGACAGTGGGTGTTGGGTTAGCCGGTGACCGATGTCTGCCATACTGCTTTAAAATCATCCCCTTATAATCTTTACTTTCTTTGCTCTTGACTGGTAGCAGGGTCTGAAGGAAAGATACTGGACTGGAATTTGGGAGACCTGAGTTTTGGTCCTAGCCCAGACCCTAGCTAATTGTTTGATCTGGGGATAAGTTACGGCTCTGGGCCTGAGTTTCTCAAATTGTAAAATGAGAGAGTAAGAATACTGCTTGTTCTCTAAGCATCTACCAGAATTAGAATTCTGATACTGTGTTGACTTAGAAATTTAGGATTTTTTTTTTTTTGCCCCAAGTTATAATCTCTCTTTTTTTTAAAAAGATTTTATTTATTTATTTGACAGAGAGAGACACAGCGAGAGAGGGAACACAACAGGGGGAGTGGGAGAGGGAGAAGCAGTCTTCCCGCCAAGCAGGAGCCCGATGCGGGGCTCGATCCCAGGACCCTGGGATCATGACCTGAGCTGAAGGCAGATGTTTAACGACTGAGCCACCCAGGCGCCCCTGTAATCTCTTTTTAAATCAAGTGGGTTGTTTGTTACTTTGGGGAAGATTGGACATGTTTGCTTTTTTGTTTGTTTTGGTCTTTTTTTCATGTAATTTATTCCTCAGGTGTAGGAATATTAGAGGAGAATTAATTCATACCAGAAAATGCAGAATGGGCACCTGGGTGGCTCAGTTGGTTAAGCGACGGCCTTCGGCTCAGATCATGATCCCGGAGTCCCGGGATCGATTCCCACTTCGGGCTCCCTGCTCGGCGGGGAGTCTGCTTCTCCCTCTAACCCTACCCCCTCTGGCGCTCTCTCTCTCACTCTCTCTCTCTCTCAAATAAATAAATAAATAAAATCTTAAAAAAAAAAGAAAATGCAGAATAATGCCTTTACGTTCTTGGAGATTGTTTTAACTTTTATAAAATGGCATTGTTTTAGCGTTAGTAAACTGAGCCAAAATGACCATCGAATTAGTAGGGCAAAAATAATGCAGTATATGTCCAATATAAGGTAGTCTTAAATATGAGGTAGTCACCTATTTTCCTGAAGAGAAGATCTGAACAAAGTTTTTTTGGTTAACTTGAGAGGTAGGTAAAGCAGTCAGGTCCTTCTACAGTATTTAATTCATCAAGATTTCTTCCTCATTCTTATCTAATGGCCTTGCTTCCTATTTTTTTTTTTTAATTTTATTTTATTTATTTGACACAGAGAGAGAGAGACAGCTAGAGAGGGAACACAAGCAAGGGGAGTGGGAGAGGGAGAAGCAAGCTCCCAGCCGAGCAGAGAGCCCGATGCGGAGCTCGATCCCAGGACCCTGGGATCATGACCTGAGCCGAAGGCAGACGCTTAACGACTGAGCCACCCAGGTGCCCCCTTCCTATTTTCTTAATAGAAACAACAGAAGAGGGGCATCTGGGTGGCTCAGTTGGTTAAGCATCTGCCTTCTACTCAGGTCATGATCTCAGGGTCCTGGGATGGAGCCCCACATCAGGCTCCCTGTTCAGCGGGGAGTCTGCTTCTCCCTCTCCCTCTGCCCCTGCTCGTGTGCTTTCTCTCTCACTTACTCTGTCTCTCAAATAAATAAATAAAATCTTAAAAAAAAAAAGAAACAGAGGAAACCCGCACAAGCTCCCTCCCTCACATCCACGCACCGCCAACATCTGTCACTGTGCAAGCTGCTTTCTCTACCATTAGGCAGGTGAACTGTCCTTGCTCTCATCTGTGGCAAAATCCTTGGCTTTTGCACTGTTTCCTTTGTGCCTACTCAAGGACATTACTCTAGCAGTTTTTTTCTCTTTTCTGCATCAGTTTTTTGCCGTTTACTGGATCATTTGCACCAGCATATACCCTTATTTCTCTCAATCTGAAAAAAAAAAATCTGACCATACGTCCTCCTGCAGCTAGCACTCCCATCTCTTTGCTCCCCTTTACATCAACTCCCCTGGCCATACTCTATCTCCAACACGTATTGTAGTCTTTCTTAAATCCATCCCACTAGTCTTTAGATTCTACCCTTCCACCAAAATTGTTTTCGTTGAGGTCACTACATCATAATTTTTTGAGGTTAATGTAGCAATTTGTTTTTAAGATTTTTGCTTATATTGTCTGTTTCTCCTGAGCCCCCTTTTTCTCTGTGCTTTTGGTGACTGTCTCATATGGGAACCTTTCCCTGAATGTGAAAAGATCTTTTTATTGTCTGTTCATATTTAAGAGTTAGGCACTAAAATGCTAATTTTGTAAGCTTTTCTATGTATTCACAGGGACTTGTAAATTGAAAACTTTACTTTGTTTTTGAGGCAGAGACCAGACAGTTTCACTGGGGAACCTCCAGCTGTCAGTATCTAAAAGCCTTTTCCCAGGGGGCACCTGGGTGGCTCAGTAGGTTAAGCGTCTGCTTGGGCTCAGTCACGATCCCACAGTGCTGGGATCAAGCCCCACATCAGGCTCCCTGCTCAGCGGGGAGTCTGCTTCTCTCTATCCCTCTGCCGCTCCCCCTGCTTGTGCACTCTCTCTCATATAAATAAAATCTTTAAAAAATAATAATAAAAGCCTTTCCCTTAGGTTGATCAGTTTTCCCCAGAGGAGAACAATCCTCCAAACTCCTTCTAGGGTTGAGCGGCTTGGAGGTGGATGACGGTGGTTATAAGCTTGGCTGTAGGCAGAGGAGAGGGAATGTGGGGGGGTCTCACTGTTGAGTATGTGGATTCTGTTGAAGACCCTCTCCAGAACTCTGCCTGGTATCCTGCAGTCCAGTGGCCCTCTGTTCAGCCTCTCCAGAGAGAAACCTGAGTCTCTGCTTGGGTGAATAACAGGACCTAGGGGCCTAACTGCTGCTTATGCCCAAGCTTGCCAACAATCCTATGTTTTCATCTCCAGCCGGGGCCCCCCTGTTCCTGATGCCTCATGTTCCCCGCCTTTCTGATGTCTGTGCCACCAGCTGGTTGCTCCTTGATTCCCTCAGCACAGGACCTTTAGTTGTTCCTCTGCTTTCTCTGATCTCTTGGTTCTGTTGCTACTCGCCTGCCTGCTCTCTAGCATCTAAAATTTTTTTTTTTTTTAAGATTTTTATTTATTTGACAGAGCACAAGCAGAGGGAACAGCAAGCAGAGAGAGAGGGAGAAGCAGGCTTCCCGCTGAGCAGGGAGCCCAATGTGGGACTCGATCCCAGGACCCTGGGATCACGACCCGAGGTGAAGGCAGCCGCTTAACCGACTGAGCCACTCAGGCGTCCCCTTAGCATCTAAAATTTGTTGACATCTCTTGTCTACCATCATTGCTCCTATTCTCTGTCTTTATGGGCATACACCTTTCGAAATATCTATGCTGTTATTTTAGTGGGGTTTGGGGAAGAGAAGGAGGTAGATGGACAGTAGTAGATGGGAGAAGGAAGTACATATGCAAATGCAAGTGGTTCTTTTCCATTACAATTTTTTTTTTTTTAAGATTTTATTTATTTATTTGAGAGAGAGAGAACACATTAGAGGGGATAGGGTCAGAGGACAAAGCAGACTCCCTGCCGAGCAGGGAGCCTGATGCGGGACTCGATCCAGGGACTCCAGGATCATGACCTGAGCTGAAGGCAGTCGCTTAACCAACTGAGCCACCCAGGCGCCCTAAAGATTTTATTTATTCATTTGAGATACAGAGATAGAGAGAGAGAGAGATCACGAGCAGGGAGAGAGGCAGAGGGAGAGGGAGAAGCAGGCTCCCTGCTGAGCTAGGAGCCTGATGTGGGGCTCGATCCCAGGACTCTGGGATCATGACCCGAGCTGAAGGCAGACACTTAACCATCTGAGCCACCCAGGCGCCCCAAATTTCTTTTTTTTTTTTTTTGAGATTTTATTTATTTGACAGAGAGACAGAGGGAGAGAGGGAACACAAGCAGGGGGAGTGGGAGAGGGAGAAGCAGGCTTCCCGTGGAGCAGGGAGCCCTATGCGGGGCTTGATCCCAGAACCCTGGAATCATGACCTGAGCCAAAGGCAGCAGCTTAACGACTGAGCCACCCAGGCGCCCCTTTTCTATTAAAATTTTTAAAAAATCATGAGCAAAGTTGTTTAAAAAATTTTTCAAGCTATAGACACGTGTAATAGGAAACAGCAGTCTCCTATAATCTCTCCCTGAAAGATAACCACTGGTAATAGTTTGGTATACTGGAAACCTTTTCAGGCTTTTAATATGTATAATATAATCATTTATATATGTACACACAGTGCATGCATATACACGTAGATAAGTTTTTATGTATGTATACAAATATGTGTTCATATATTACATATGTAAATATATTTAAATTGGGTATGTATTATGTTAATTCCAACATATGGGTACTGGAAATACAAAAAAATTAATATTTAAAAATGGTGTCATACATACTATTAGGTAGCTTTATCTTTTCACCTAACACCTTCTCTGGAACATCTCTCCATTTCAGTATCACTTAGCTCTACTTCATAGAAAATGACTAGGTGGCATTGATTGAATTTAACCTATCCCCTTTTGAGGGGCATTTGTTGTAATTTTCTCTCTTTTTTTTATTATGAACAATAGTGAAGTGAATTTCCTCATGTATATTTTTGCTAGCTAGTCTTTTAGAAACCATGAGTGCTGAGGAGGAAGAACATGTTAGTAACCTGCAGAACCATGAATAGAAATTCAAAGTGACTGGCAGGCACAGAGTTCTTGAGTTATCAGTCACCTCGAACAGTGCCTGTTCGCATCAACACAATCTGCCATTGCTCTTATCTTCTTTATATCGCCTTTGGCCCCTCTTTATTTCCTCTACCTCCCTTTGGCTGTTTTTATAACTCCTCTGGCCAGATTTCAGTTAAACTAATATGCTCTGTTCCTGTAAGTACTAGGAATACCATTAGGCATTTGCTTATAATTTTTAATCTCCTGTATATGTAAATGGGAAGTGTAGCTACCACTTTTTACTAATCAAAAATATTTTTAGTCTGATGAAGGGAAAAAAAAACTGGATAATAATTCTCAACTCACTTGTGGTATTTGGAAAGTCAGATTTTTATTTTACTTTAACCTCTTTAATTGGTAAGATCTATTATATAACATTTTTTAGCTTTCTTTCTAATTTAAGTCGTTCTGATCTGAAAAATATCTGTTTTTATTCTATTCTGGTGTTGTCAAATAATGAGCCATGGGGGTGCCTGGGTGGCTCAGTCGTTAAGTGTCTGCCTTTGGCTTGGGTCATGATCCCAGGGTCCTGGGATTGAGGGATCGAGCCCGGCATTGGTCTCCCTGCTCCGCAGGAAGCCTGCTTCTCCCTACCCCCCTGCTTGTGTTCCCTCTCTTGCTGTGTCTCTCTGTGTCAAATAAATAAAATCTTAAAAAAAAATATATATAGGGTGCCTGGGTGGCTCAGTTGGTTAAGCGACTGCCTTTGGCTCAGGTCATGATCCTGGAGTCCCGGGATCGAGTCCCGCATTGGGCTCCCTGCTCGGCGGGGAGTCTGCTTCTCCCTCTGACCCTCCTCCCTCTCATTCTCTCTGTCTCAAATAAATAAATAAAATCTTTAAAAAATATATATATATATAATGAGCCACGCTTTTCTATGAGAAAGTAAAGGCAATATGAAACTAATTTGGAAATAAATATCAGCTCCCACATCATCATGGATCTCTCTGATTTTTGTTCATTGCTGAAGGTTTTACTATGAGCAAAGAATACTTCGGAAGGTCTTTGAAGAATGGAAAGAAGAGTGGTGGGTTTTCCAGCGAGAGTGGAAACTCTGTGTTCGAGCAGACTGTCACTACAGGTCAGGTTTCATGTTATATTACTTTAATTTTACTGATACACATTATTAAATAGTTACTTGTTAGCACGTTTCTAGTCAAAAGGAGAAAGTATTTTTGTTGTTTGTTTGTTTTCCAAAGATTCACTTATTTATTTCAGGGAGAGAGAAAAAGTGTGAGCAGGGGGAGGGGCAGAGAGAGAGGGAGAGAATCTCAAGCAGACTCCCCACTGATCAGGGAGCCTGACATGCGGCCCCATCCAATTACCCTGAGATCATGACCTGAGTCAAAGTCAGGAGTTGGACACTCAACAGATTGAGCCACCCAGGCACCCCAAAAGAAAAAAGTTTTTTGCCTCCAGTTTTATTGAGATATAATTGACATATATCACTGTATGGGTCTTAGATGTACAGCATAAAGGTTTGACTTGTGAAATGATTACCACAGTAAGTTTAGTTAACGTCCATCATCTCCTACAGATACAATAAAAAGAAATGGGAAAAAAAGAAAAAAGCTGGGTGGCTCAGTTGGTTAAGCTCAGGTCATGATCTCAGGGTCCTGGGATCTGACCCACATTGGGCTCTCTGCTCAACAGGGAGTCTGTCCCTCTCCTTCTGCCCCTCCCCGCACTCATGTTCTCTTTGTCTTTCTCTGAAATAAATAAAATAAAAAAAAAACACCACTTTTTTTTTTTAGATATAATGGAAAGTCTTAGGATTTATTCTCTTAACAACTTTCATACATATCATACAGTAGTGGTAACTATAGGCATCATGTTGTACATTTCATCTCCAGTACTTCTCTATCTTATAATTAGAAGTTTGTACCTTTTGACCACTTTCCTCCAGTTCTCTCTCCCACCCCTGCCTCCGGTAAACACAAATCTGATCCTTTTCTATGAGTTTTTTGTGTTTGCTCTTAGATTCCACGTATGAGTGAGATCATACAGTATTTGTCTTTGTCTGACTTAATCACTCAGTATAATGCCTTCAAGGTTCATCCATGCTGCCACAAATGGCAGGATTTCTTTGCTTTTTATCCCATTGTTTGTATCTGCCACAGCGTTATCCATTCACCCATCTGTGGACACTTAGGTTGTTTCCATGTCTTGGCTGTTGTAAATAGTGCTGCTGGGAACATAGGGGTACAAATATCTTTTCGAGTTAGTGTTTTCATTTACATTGGATATATTCCCAGAAGTGAAATTGCCGGATCATATGGTAGTTTTACTTTTAAATTTTTTGTGGATCCTCCATACTGTTTTCCATAATAGCTGTAGCAATTTACAGTCCCATCAACAGTGCACAAGGGTCCCTTTCTCTACATTCACGCCGGCATTTGATATCTCTTATCTTTTTGATGATGGTCGTGCTAACAGGTGTGAGGTGATAGCTCCTTGTGGTTTTGATTTGCACTAATGACTAGTGATGTTGAGCATCTTTTCATGAACCTGTTGGCCTTTCATATATTTTCTTTGGAAAAATGTCTGTTCAGTTTCTTTGCCTATTTTTTAATTGAATTATTTGGGGGTTTTATTATTTTTTTTGCCATCGAGTGGTATGAGTTCTTTATATATTTTGGATATTAACCCTTTATCAAATATATGGTTTGCAGATATTTTTTTCCCATTCCATAGGTTATCTTTTTCACTTTGTTGATTGTTTCTTTTGCTGTGCAGAAGTGTTTTGGTTTGGTGTAGTCCCATTTGTTTATGTTATATTTCGTTGCTTGTGCTTTAAGTGTCATTTCAAAAAAAACATTGCTAAGACCCATATGAAGGAGCTCTTTTCCTGTTTTTTCTTTTAGGAGTTTCATGGTTTCAGGTCTTATATTTAAGTTTTTAATCCACTGTGAGTTAATTTTTGTGAGTGGTTTAAGATGGGGTCTAGTATCATTCTTTTACACGTGAATATTGAATTTTCCCAGCACCATTTTTCAAGGAGATTGTCATTTCTCCATTGAGTAGTCTTGGCTCCTTTGTCAGATATTAGTTGACCATATATACTTGGGTTTGTTCCTGTCCATTGGTGTGTTTTTTCTTTTCTTTTCTTTTTTTTTTTTATAAAGTAAGATTTTTCTTTTTTTTTTTTTTTAAGATTTTATTTTGTTATTTGTCAGAGAGAGAATGAGAGAGCAGCAGGCAGAGGGAGAAGCAGGCTCCCCGCTGAGCAGGGAGCCCGATGCAGGACTCAATCCCAGAACCCTGGGATCACGACCTGAGCTGAAAGGAGACACTTAACTGATTGAGCCACCCAGACGTCCCTCACTGGTGTGTTTTTATGCCAGTACCATACTGTTTTGATTAATACAGCTTTAATGAGGAGGTGTGATGCCTCCTGCTTTGTTCTTCTTTCTCAGAATTGCTTTGGATATTTTGGGTCTTTTGTGGGTCCATGGAAATTTTAGGATTGTTCTACTTCTGTAGAAAATGCCATTGGAATCTTGATAGGGCTTACATTGAATCTGTAGATGGATTTTGGTAGTATTGTTTTAATATTTTAGTGATATTAACTAATATTTAATTATGTAATTAAATTACCTAATTTAGTAACGTTTTAATAATATTAATTTTCCAATCCATGAATGTGGGATACCTTTCCATTTATTTGTGTCTTTGATTTCTTTTGCCAGTGTTGTGTAGTTTTCAGAATAGAGATCTTTCACCTCCTTGGTTAAATTTATTATAGAATATTTTATTGTTTTTGATGCTATTGTAAATGGAATTGATTTGTTTTTCAGATAGTTCACTGTTCGTGTATGGAAATGCTACTGATTTCTGTGTGTTGATTTTGTATCCTGCAAAGTTGACTGAATTTTTTATTAAATATAATAGTTTTGGGGCTGAGTCTGTAGGATTTTCTATATATAAAATCATGTCACTTACAAATAGAGACAATTTCACTTCTTCCTTTCCCATTCTGATGCCTTTTGTTTGTTTTTCTTGCCTGATTGTTTTGACTAGGACTTCCAGTATTATGTTGAATAGGAGTGGTAAGAGTGGACACTTTTGTCTTGTTCCTGATCTTAGAGGAAAAGCTCTCAGCCTTTCTTCTTTGAGTATGATGTTAGCCGTGGGCTTGTCATATATGGCCTTTATTATATTGAGATATGTTTGGTCTATCCGTAATTTGTTAAATGTCTTTATAATGAGTGATTGTTGAGTTTTGTCAAATGCTTTTTCTGTATCTTTTGAGGTGACCCTGTGATTCTTTTCTTTCATTCTGTTAATGTGATGGATCGCATTGATTTGGAGAAGGGTTTTGAATCCTATTCTGTTTTTCTTCAAATTCTTTTTAGAATAAGTAAGATCAAAGTCCTAAAATAAACCCAAGCACATGTGCATGTGGGCACACACACATAGACACCTCTTTAGTAACCATTATGTGTTGGTCATATTAATGGTTTGAATAGGGTTTTCTCACTGACTCTCACTTCTGTATAATTTCTAATTCTGAGAGTGTTCTGTTTTTTTTTTTAATAGTTAAGGATACTGATTTATTTAAAACATAACATGTTTCTGCTTCATAACAACATCTGTATTATTTTACATTTTTATTGGCAACTTTCACTGTACCCTGGTGATTTCTAAAAATCCTCATACTTCCCTGCTGGTCAAAGTTTCCAAAAAATAATAAACAAGTGATTATTAACTATGATCTTTTTATTCCATGACTGTATATATTCTGTAAGAAGAGTGTTCTGTTTTTTTAAAATAATAAGTTGTTTTAATTTTTATTGATTATAGGAGAAAATATATGCCCAGTATGGGACATTAAGAAAATAGAAATAGAGAAAAAACTAAATCCTGACATTAGTACTCCCAGGGATAAGTAGAGGAAAAAGTAAAAATTGGAATTATATCAAATCCACATTTTATACCTTTTTTATACAATAAAAAGTATCTTACACAGTGTGTCTTTTAAAAATAGCATTTACTGGGGCGCCTGGGTGGCTCAGTTGGTTAAGCGACTGCCTTCAGCTCAGGTCATGATCCTGGAGTCCCTGGATCGAGTCCCGTATTGGGCTCCCTGCTCGGCAGGGAGCCTGCTTCTGCCTCTGACCTTCCTCCTTCTCATGCTCTCTGTCTCTCATTCTCTCTCTCTCAAATAAATAAATAAAATCTTTAAAAAAAAAAAAATAAAAAATAATAAAAATAGCATTTACTCTCATAATCACTTCTTTATTTAGGTTCTTTGGGTCAGGGTTTCTGATTTGTGGATATTTCAGATAAGATAAAGACAATGTTGAATCATTCTAATAAGCTTGTAGAGTATGAAATCAAGTCTTAGGAAATAGGATAGTGAAAATACGGAGGGACTGACAGTCTTAATGTGTATAGTGTATGTATTGAGAAGGAAAAGACAAAGGAAAGGTGTCATTGACCATGTTTAGTGAAAAGGAGAGGTAATGTTTTACATAATGTGGATGATTAAAGTGATAAAGATATGACTGTCACTCTAAATGTCACAGCTTTGTGAATGCTGAAGGTGAAGTTATTCTCAGGTAATTCAAGCCTGTTTTTCCTTAATGATACTGTAAAGTGAGGAGAATGCCTCTCCATCAAGGAGAATAGATTTCACTGTGACTATGTGAAATAAGATTTTAGCTTAAGATATAGATATGACTTTTTTGTATCAGAAGCATCCATGTTAATTTCTGAGTACAGAAGGGACTGGTTATATTGAATTAGGAGTTTTTTTGGTTTAAAGAAATGCCATTTGGGGCACCTGACTGGCTCAGTCTGTGGAGCATGTGATTCGATCTCTGGTTTGTGAGTTCAAGCCCCATGTTGGGTGTAGAGATTATAAATAAATAAACTTTATTTATTTTTAAAGATTTTATTTATTTGACAGAGAGAGAGAGAGATCACAAGTAGGCAGACAGTCAGGCAGAGGGAGAGGGAGAAGCAGGCTCCCCGCTGAACATGGAGTCCAATGTGGGGCTCGGTCCCAGGACACTGGGATCATGACCTGAGCCGAAGGCAGACGCTTAACCGACTGAGCTACCCAGGCGCCCCAATAAATAAATAAACTTTAAAAAATAAAGAAAGTAGGAGCACCTGGGTGTCTCAGTCGGTTAAGCGTCTGCCTTCGGCTTAGGTCATGATCCTGGGGTCCTGGGTTCGAGCCCCACATCGGGCTCTCTGCTCAAGTGGGGAGCCTGCTTCTCCCTCTCCCTCTACTTGCCACTCCCCCTGCTTGTGAGCTCGCTCTCTCTTGCTCTCTCTCTCTCTTGCTCTGTCAAATAAGTAAATCTTAAAAAAAAGGAAAGAAAGAAATGCCATTTGCCTTTTTTTTTTTTTTTGCCTCCTCAGATATTACTTATACAACCTGATGTTCCAGACCTGGAGGACCTATGTGCATCAGCAGCAGGAGAAGAGGACCAAGTACATTAGAGCCGAGAATCATGGTGAGACAAGGAAATACATGTCTAAAGAAAATACCTTCATTTATTTGATTTTCTTTAATGAAGACTTAATTTTTTGAGAGCAGTTTTCGTTAGGTTCATAGCACAAAATTAAGGGGCAAATACATATATATGTATATATACTCCTCTTCCCCCACGCATGAGTAGTCTCTCCCACTATCAACATCACTCACCAGAGTGGTACATCTGTTACAGTGAACCCCCATCAACACATAATCACTCAAAGTCCATAGTTTACACTAGGGTTCACTCTCAGTGTTGTACCTTCTATGGACATGTACCCATTATGGTATCATACAGAGTATTTTCACTGCTCTAAAAATCTGTGCTCTCTCTCTTTATTTAGCTCATATCATCCCCCTGGCAACTTTTGTTTTGTTTTGTTTTAAAGATTTATTTATTTGAGAGAGAGAGAGAGAGCATGAGTGGGAGGGGCAGAAGGAGAGGGAGAGAGAATCTCAAGCCGACTCTGTGCAGAGCATGGAGCCCAACGCAGGGCTCGATCCCATGACCCCAAGATCATGGCCTGAGCAGAAACCAAGAGTTGGATGTTCAACCGACTGCACCACCTGGGTGCCCATCCAGACACCCATCTACCCCCACTCCCAGCAACTTTTTACTGTCTTCATAGTTGTTCCTTTTCCAGAATGTCATGTAATTGAAATCATATAGTATATAGCCCTTTCAGATTGGCTTCTTTTACTTAGTAATATGCAGTTAAGGTCCCTCCATATCTTTTATGGTTTGATAGCTCATTTCTTTTTTTTTTTTAATGTTATGTTAGTCACCATACATTACATCATTAGTTTTTTGTTTTTTTTAAAGATTTTATTTATTTATTTGACAGAGAGAGACACAGCGAGAGAAGGAACACAAGCAGGGGGAGTGGGAGAGGGGAAAGCAGGCTTCCCGCGGAGCAGGGAGCCTGATGCGGGGCTCGATCCCAGGACCCTGGGATCATGACTGAGCTGAAGGCAGACGCTTAACGACTGAGCCACCCAGGTGCCCCACATCATTAGTTTTTCATGTAGTATTCCATGATTCATTGTTTGCGTATAACGCCCAGTGCTCCATTCAATACATGCCCTCCTTAATACCCATCACTGGGCTAACCCATCCCCCCACCCCCCGCCCCTCTAAAACCCTCAGTTTCTTTCTCAGAGTCCATAGTCTCTCATGGTTCGTCTTCCCCTCCCATTCCCCCCCTTCATTTTTCCCTTCCTACTATCTTTTTTTTTTTTTTTTTTAACATATAATGTATTATTTGTTTCAGAGGTACAGGTCTGTGATTCATTAGTCTTACACAATTCACAGCGTTCACCATAGCACATACCCTCCCCAATGTCCATCACCCAGCCATCCCATCCCTCCCACCCCCCACCATTCCAGCAACCCTCAGTTTGTTTCCTGAGATTAAGAGTTCCTCATATCAGTGAGATCATATGATACTTGTCTTTCTCTGATTGACTTATTTCGCTTAGCATAATACCCTCTAGTTCCATCCATGTTGTGCAAATGGCAAGATTTCGGGTTTTTTATGGCTGCATAATATTCCATTGTGTGTGTGTGTGTGTGTGTGTGTGTGTGTGTGTGTATGGCACATCTTCTTTATCCATTCATCTGTTGATGGACATATTGGCTCTTTCCATAGTTTGGCGATAGCTCATTTCTTTTTAGTGCTGAATAACATTCCATTGTCTGGATGTACCACAATTTATTTATCCATTTCTAAGAAGGACATCTTGGTTGCTTCGAAATTTTGGCAGTTAGGAATAAAACTGCTATAAATTTTCATGTGCAGGTTTTTGTATGGACCTAAGTTTTCAGCTCCTTTGGATAAATACCAAGGATTGCAATTGCTGGATCATATGATAAGACTATGTTTTGTAAGAAACTGCCAAACTGTCTTCCAGAGTGACTGTACTACTGTGCATTTCCACTAGCAATGAATGAGAGTGTCTGTTGCTCCACATCCTTACCAGCATTTGGTGTTGACAGCGTTCTGGATTTTGGTCATTCTAATAGGTGTGTAGTGGTATCTTGTTGTTTTAATTTGTATTCTCTGGTGACATATGATGTGGAACGTCTTTTCATATGTTTATTTGCCATCTGTATACTTTTGCTGAGGTGTTTTTTGTCCATTTTTTTAATTGGATTGTTTTCTTGTTGAGTTTTAAGAATTCTTCGTGTATTTTGGATAACAGTCTTTTATCAAATGTGTCTTTTGCAAATATTTTTTCCCAGTCTGTGGCTTGATTCTCATTCTCTTTACATTTCTTTGGAAAGCAAAAGTTTTTAATTTTAATGAAGTCCAGCTCATCAAATTTTTCTTTCGTGGATCATGCTTTTGGTGTTGTATCATACCCAAGGTCATCTGAGTTTTCACCTATGTTATTTAAGTCAAGGAATTTTATTGTTTTGTGTTTTACATTTAGGTCAGTAGTCCATTATGAGTTAATTTTTATGAAGAATATAAGATCTGTGTCTAGATTCTTTTTTTTTTTTTTGCATGTCTAAGTCCAGTTGTTTCTGCACCATTTGTTGAAAAGACTGTTTTTGCTTCATTGTATTGCCCCTGCTCCTTTGTCAAAGATAAATTGGCTGTATTTACATGGCTCTGTTTCTGGGCCCTCTCTTCTGTTCCATTGATCTATTTGTCAGTTCCTTCGCCAATATAATTTTGTTTTGATTACTGTAGCTTTATAGTAAGTCTTGAACTCCAGTAATGTCATTCCTCCAACCTTGTTCTCCTTTAATATTGTGTTGGCTATTCTAGGTCTTTTGTCTCTTCATGTAAACTTTAGAATCAGTTTGTTGATATCCACAAAATAACCTGCGGGGATTTTGGTTAGGAGTGCTTTGAATCTATAGATCAAGTTGGGAAGAACTGACATTTTTTTTTTTTTTTAAAGATTTTATTTATTTATTTGACAGAGAGAGAGACAGCGAGAGCAGGAACACAAGCAGGGGGAGTGGGAGAGGAAGAAGCAGGCCCCCCGCTGAGCAGGGAGCCCGATGTGGGACTCGATCCCAGGACCCTGGGATCATGACCTGAGCCGAAGGCAGATGCTTAACGACTGAGCCACCCAGGCGCCCAGAACTGACATTTTTAAAAAAAGATTTTATTTACTCATTTGAGAGAGAGACAGAGCACAAGCAGGGGGAGAGGCAGAGGGAGAAGGAGAAGCAGGTTCCCCACTGAGCAGGGAGCCCGACGTGGGGCTCTATCCCAGGACCTGGAGATCATGACCTGAGCCAAAGGCAGACACTTCACTGACTGAGCCACACAGACGCCCCGGAAGAACTGATATTTTGACAATATTGAGTCTCCCTATCCATGAAAATGGAATATCCCTCCATTTATGTAGTTCTTTGATTTTGTTCATTAGAGTTTTGCAGTTTTCCTCATATTGACATTGTATATATTTTGTTAGATTTATATCTGGGTATTTCGTTTTTGGAGGTGCTAATGTAAATGGTATTGTGCTTTCAATTCCAAATTCCATTTGTTCATTGCTGGTATATAGGAAAGCAATTAACTTTTGTATATTAACTTTTCATCTCAACCTTGGTATGGATTGCTTATTAGTTCCAGGAATCTTTTTGTTTGTTTTGTCAGTTCTTTGGGGTTCTCTACACGGACAGTTGTGTCACCTGTGAAAAAAGACAGTTTTACTTCTTTCTTCCCAATCTTTATACCTTTTATTGCTTTTTCTTGTCTTGTTGCATTAGCTAGAACTTCTAATATGATGTTGAAAAGCAGTAGTTGAGGGGCACCTGGGTGGCACAGTCTGTTGAGTGTCCAACTCTTGGTTTCAGCTCAGGTCTGATTTCATGGTTGGTCATGAGATTGAGCCCTGCTTTGGGCTCCTCACTTAGCACAGAATCTGCTTGTGTTTCTCTCTCCTCTCTGACCCTTCCCCCTCCCCGCTCTGTCTCTCTCTAAAATAAGTAAAATAAATCTTCGAAAAGAAAAGGAGTAGTTGAGAGGGGTCGTTTCTGCCTTGTATCTGATCTTAGTGGGAAAATTTTGAGTTTCTTACCATTAAGTATGATAAAGGCTTTTTGTAGATATTCTTTATCAGGTTGAGGAAGGCCCCTCTCTTTTTCCTAGTTTCCTGAGAGCCCACATTTACTTTTACAGAAGCTCTTGGGAAGACAAGCATATTATCTCTGAGAGAAAATAACACCAGGTCAAAGGGAACATTTGTTTGATCCCCTTTCCTATTATCCAGAATCTTTTTTTTTTTGGAGGGGAGAGGGAGAAGCAGGCTTCCCGCGGAGCAAGGAGCCCGATGCGGGGCTCAATTCCAGGACCCCAGGATCATGACTCGAGCCGAAGGCAGCTGCTCAACCAACTGAGCCACCCAGGCGCCCCCCTATTATCCAGAATCTTCATCTCTGAGCAAGAACTCCTGTATCTCCTGGATAGTCATATCCCTATGGTTTTTTCCATATGGCACTTACAACTCATTTAAGCATGATTTCTGTGAACTGGCTATTCGTGCCCTCCTACAGCACCTGGGGTGGCTGTCTGTTTAGCTGTCATGTGTCAAGTTGCAGTGCTCACTTCTGGTCTTCTTTTTTTTTTTTTTTTTTTAGTTTTATTTATTTATTTGACAGAGAGAGACACAGCGAGAGAGGGAACACAAGCAGGGGGAGTGGGAGAGGGAGAAGCAGGCTTCCCGCAGAGCAGGGAGCCCGATGCGGAGCTCGATCCCAGGACCCTGGGATCATGACCTGAGCCAAAGGCAGATGCTTAATGACTGAGCCACCCAGGCGCCTCCACTTCTGGTCTTCTGTGTCCAGGTTGCCCCTTCGTGATCTTGTGGCCAGTTTAGCTCTGGTCAGTATCTGGTTCCTCTTTGAGTTGAGTCCAGAAACCCATATTGGGAGTCTAAGAGAAAAAGGCACTGAGTTTCAAAATGATAGTGCAGTCTGCATTAGCAGCTGCCTCATACCCATTTCATGTGAATGCCTTG